GGCAAAGAAAAGAAAGCTGGAGATGGTGAAGACGGTGAGAAGGTAGCGGCGGCTACTGATGACTTTCTTATCATTTATGAAGGCGATGCCGTCAATGTCGCTTGCCGGAGACTAGTTGGGTGATCGATAGCGGTGCTTCAATTCATGTCACATCGCGAAGGGATTTCTTCAGGTTCTACACTCCCGGTGACTTCGGAAGTGTTAGGATGGGTAATGATGGTATTGCTAAGGCAGTTGGCATGGGAGACGTGCACTTGGAGACTGAAAATGGCAACACCTTAGTTTTGAAAGGTGTGAAGCATGTTCCCAACATTCGCATGAATTTGATATCTACCAGCAAGCTCGATGATGAAGGGTTTTGTAACACCTTTCGAGACGGAAAGTGGAAACTCACGAAGGGATCCTTGATTGTGGCGAGAGGGCAAAAGTATTCTTCATTGTATGTGATGAACGTGAAGATTGTGGATCCTATGATCAATGCGGTGGATGATGAACGCACTGTGGAACTTTGGCACAACCGACTTAGCCACATGAGCGAGAAGGGTTTGACAGTGTTGGCCAAGAAGAATCTCCTCCCAGGTGTAAAAACGGGTTTTCTGAAGAAGTGAGCTCATTGCTTGACGGGGAAGCAAACCAGAGTTGCCTTCAAGAGAGTTCTCCACCCACGCAAAACAGGTATTTTGGATATGGTCCACTCTGATGTATATGGTCCAATGAAGACGAGAACACTTGGTGGTGCCTTGTACTTTGTAACTTTCATCGACGATCATTCAAGGAAGATTTGGGTGTATATGTTGAAGTCAAAAGATCAAGTTGTAGACGTCTTCAAGCAGTTTCATACTCGTGTGGAACGAGAAATAGGTGTGAAGCTTAAGTGCATCCGAATAGATAATGGAGGTGAATACTGCGGCCCATTTGATGAGTATTGTAGGCAGCAGGGTATTCGACACCAAAAGACACCTCCGAAGACTCCTCAGTTGAACGGGTTAGCTGAGAGGATGAACCGGACACTAGTTGAGAGGTTGAGATGTTTGCTTTCGCAGTCACAGTTACCGAGGTCCTTTTGGGGTGAAGCCTTGAGTACAATGGTGCATGTTTTGAATCTTACTCCATTGAATTTTGAGGTTCCAGACAGGATGTGGTCAGGAAAGGAAGTTTCGTACGATCACTTGCGTGTTTTTGGGTGCAAGGCCTTTGTTCATATTCCGAAGGATAAGAGGTCGAAGCTTGACATGAAAACAAGGCCATGTGTGTTCGTCGGTTATGGCCTTGATGAGTTTGGATACAGGTTCTATGACCCAATGCAGAAAAAGCCTGTAAGAAGTCGAGATGCGGTCTTCGTAGAAGACCAGAGTATAAAATACATCGATAAAGCCGAGATGACAGAGAAGTACAACGATGATCTGGTTGATTTAGATCCAGTTCCTATACCTATTGTATATCCAGATCAAGGGGGAGCGGCGTCAGAGACTGATATTGGTCCTGCACATGGTGATGTCCCCAATGGTGACGTCCCCACAGTTGATGGTGGTGAGCCAACTGTTGAAGTTGAAGAAGGGGTTCAAGAACCACCAGAAGAACCTATTTTGAGGAGATCCAGTCGAGAGCGGCGTCCATCTACTAGATACTCCTCAAATGAGTATGTGATGATCACCGATGCCGGAGAGCCAGA